AATGTAAATTTTTGTCTAATTATTATGTTCCCCAAAACCTGAGTTTTTTATAAACCACCTCAGTGGGAAAATTTTGACTTTAAAACAAAGATGAACATTTTTATGGTTGGAGGACAATTTCTCTGTCAATGACCTTCATGTAAATAATAAATGTCAAATACTGGGTTTTATTTATACAAAGAGTGGGCTAATTACAAATGTTATTATTTGTTAGAGAGCTTTATCAGAAATAACTCTGTCAGCAGTTTGAAGTCTATCCATTTGCAAATAATGATACCATCAGCTACCATTAGGTAGTACCACTTTCTTGTACATCAGCCAGGCTGTTAATGGCTTTCATGGACTGCCTTGCTAAACCCCACAAAACAAGCAAGTTTCATCATTTCATTGCACTAGCAGGGAAACTAGTGAAATAATAGGTCAAAGAACATAGCTGAGATTCAAACTCAGGGCTATAAAGCCTCCTTGAACCAAAACACATTATATATCCTGCATTAACTGCTCAAAGGCAAGACCAATGGGTTGCAAGAAATGTGCAAAGTTATGATGATTTGCAAAATAAGCCAAACTACAGTCCAGTTTGGGGATATCTGTTAGACATTTAAGCTTATATGAGTTTAGGAAATAAATGCCTTTCTAATAAGGACAAGTTTGGTTTATCTAGTTGGCAAGAATTGTGATTCATTAGAGCATGATTAATTTTAACCAAGAGATATGTGCTTGTAAGAATCATGTGTAAACAAAAGTTATAAAAGTTGGAATGGAAAACAGGATTCTTTGAAGGTTAAAATGTAATCTCAGGGTAAATACTTTTTTAGAGTAAATGTTTGGACTGCGGCCCTTCCAGGGGGAGAACCACCAGCAGCTCCTGAGGTCCGTGCCATGTTGGAACTTAGGATGCTGGGAAGCCAAGCAAGCAAGCAGCTCCCCTCCCTGGTAAGCGGCAGTGGCGTGGCAGACTTGGCCCTTCCAGAGGGAGAACCACCAGCAGCTCCTGAGATCCACACCATGTTGGAACTTATGAAGCTGGGAAACCAAGCAACCAGCCTGCCTCCCTGCTAAGCAATAGTGAACCTCTGGTGCACAGCCTAGAGTCAAAACATCCCATTTCCCCTACCCCGATTCTCCTGTCCCCGCCATTAGCAAGTGGGAACCAGAAACCTGAGAATTTCCTGGGAGGTTGATCCTAGCAAGTAAGGGGGATTTCCTTCTACCATCTTTCTGAAGGCAAATATTTTTATTACTGTTTTGCTCTATTCTGATTAATGGTACTGCTCTATTCAATATTCTATTTTGATTAAGTTCTATAATGTTCTGTATTTCATTTTATTTTGATATATGTGATTGAAAGAACAACTATTATAAAGATAACGAAATATACTGTGATACCTATTACTGTTATCCTGGTAACCTGCTGTGAAGTTCTGTACCAATTTCACTGTACGATCTTAGTTGGTTTTATTCTGTCTTGCTCTGTGGTATTTTATCACTTTCAAAATAAAATTAACAAAAAATAAATGTTTCTGTTATGAAAATGGACAGATTCCTCCACAGGGTCATGATAATATTATTCTAAGAGTGTAGAGATGATAAATAATTAGAATAAAAGCTAGGTGTGCTATACTCTGTAATCTTACAACTCTGTAAGACTGAAACAGGAAGCTCACAAGTTCCAGTCCAGCCCGAGGAACTCAACAACCTAGCAAAATGCTCAGTATTACATTAATTAATTAATTAAATAAAAAACACTGTGGATATAGCTCAGTGTAAAGACCATGGTCCCAGTATGGGAGGCGTAGTGGAGCATAAACTAGATTTCTTCAAAATGATCAGTAGTCAGTTATATCCCAAAATGTACACCACAGATCCTAGGAGGAGGAGGAGTCTATAAAGAAATTATTTTCATATGTCTAAGACCTTTCACCACGTTGACATTTGTACTAATGCTGCAAACCCACTTGTGTATCTGGTCAGGCTGGATCTTCTTCATATACAGCAGCCAAAACAGCACAGTTATTATGGATGTTGCAGCAGTAATGAAAGTCTAGCTGCTTGTACCATGAATTGAGGCCATGGTGCCAAATTACACTAGTAACTTTTATATTCTTTACTGCCCCATACAGTAAAATCAGCAAACAAATCATTTTCACTGAAGAATGTCCTGATGAAACGGTAAATAAAAAACTTATTAACTTTCAGATGAGGACTCATGTTTTCAATACTGTACCCTGTGAGAAAATGGAATTTACACATGAAACTCTTCTGCTAGAAGCCAAGAAAGACAGTTGAGACCAGAAAATACCTGAGCAATTGCTTCAGTTGCCAGATGAACTAACTACATTTTGTTTGAAATGTCATTTTTGTTTGAATGAACAACAGACAAATTATAGTTATTCAGACTTTGGTATTTAGCACATATTTTCTCAGATATGAATGAACTGAACCTGTAACTCCAAGGAAACAACTGACAGTTATTTGTTGTCAATGTGTCACTTAAGCTTTCAAGTGAAAGTAACTAGAAAATATGTTGCCATTATTTTCAGTGTTTTTTTTTTTTTATTTGTTTTTTTTGAGACAGACTCTTGTTATGCAGTTCAGGGCTAGCCTTGAATTTACTATGTAGCCCAGGTTAGCCCTGAACTCATGGTGATCCTCCTGCCTCATTCTCCTAAGTGCTGGGATTACAGGCACGTGACAACCTGCCAGGTGTGATTTTTTTTTTTTAGTAGTAGATAATGACATTTCCAATGCTACCACCTGAAAGATGCGCATAATTTACAGAACATTTTCAAAATAAACAATAGCTCACTTTATAAAATCATATATGAGTAAAATAGCCAATCAAAGGGCGAGAGGCTAATGGATTTTATAACAGTATAAAAGTTTATTAACATAGTTTTAAAATACCACGGTTGTGACTGATCTTTAAGAAACTGCCTCTTATGAAGATTCATTGTATCAAGAGTATACAGGGGCTGGGGATTTAGCTCAGCAGCATAAGCACCTGCCTTGCAAACAGGCGGTCGTGAGTTTGATCCCTGGTATTGATTAAAAAAAAAAAAAAAAAAAAGAGTATCTACAACTGTCTGAAATTCTCAATGTATAGCAGCCAAAACAGCACAATTGTTATGGATGCCATGGCAGAAATAAGAGCCTAGCAGCTTTTTATTAAGCCAGACATAGAAGAGACTTATTAAGATGTAAAATGAGGCCACCTTATTAATATTTTAGGGACAATATACTTGTTTTTCATTAAAACTATTATTCATAAGCTGGTCATGGTGGCACTTGTAAGACCAAGGAAAGAGAATCATAAAATTGAGGCCAGCCAGGTCATAGTGAGACCCTGTTTCAAACAAACAAACAAATGTTTGAGGCCCGCCTGGTCAACTTAGCAAGAACCTCTCAAAATTTAAAAAAAAATCAATAAACAAACAGGTCTAGAGATATAGCTCAGTACTCCCTGGGCTCAATCTTTAATACATTATTTATATCCATAAGTAAGGAGTTTATCATTATTTCAAAATAAACACAGCCTATGTTTTTTTTGGTTTGTTTGCTTGCTTCTTTGGTTTTGAGACAAGGTCTCACTACGAAGTTCAGTCTAGTTTGAGGTCCCTTTCTATAGGCTGGCCTTGAGCTCACTTTGTAGCCCAGGCTGGTCTTGAACTTGAAGCAACCCTCCTGCCTCGGCCTCCCAAGTGCAGGGATTACAGGAGTATGCCACCAAACCCCATCTTTGTCATTTATTTTTGAGATGGTCTCACTGTGTACTTCAGGCTCATCTTGAACTTACTTTGTAGCCCAGTTTGCCCTCAAACTCACAGCAATCCTCCTGCTTCAGTCTCCTGAGCACTAGAATTAAAAGCGTGTACTATCACAATCAGCTTAGTTTTAATCTTCAATATATATGATAAATACCATAGATTTTATATATAAAAACACTCTTTTGAGGGAAGAACACAAAGCTATCTGAAGTTATAAAAGATTTGAGAACTACTGTATAGCAACATTACACTGATTTTTCCGAAGGGTAGGCTAGAAAAAGGCACTTTTACAGTACCTCAAAAGTATAAAAGGCAAAAGTGCCTTTTAAGCATATGGCAAAATGCTCGACTAAAAACATTTTTCAGCCGTGTGGTTGTATATACCTGTAGGAGGCTGCGGCAGGATTGTGAGTTTGAAGCCAGTTTGGGGTACACTATAAGTTCAAGACCAATCTGGACCCAGTGAGATTCTGTCTCAAAAAAACTAAAGCCAAACAAACAAACACCAACAAGTTTTTTTTTTTCCACAGAATGCAGCTCCCCAGAAGTGTGGGATAGTGATGTAAGATGAATAATGATCTGAACTTTAGCATAGACCTACTAGTCTCCCTCACATTAGCCTTCCCATCTGCAAAGTGAATGCCAACATAGTGACTCCATAGCCTGGTCCTGGCCTTCAGAATGACTTGCTATCATGGTCCCAAGAAGCAATTGGCACGAGCTGAGTGAGCAGCTTCCCCTTCAAATGGGGAATCAAAAGCCCAGTCAAGCCCACTCAATTTGCCCATGCAGACATCGGCACTAGCAACTTCTAGGTAAAAGGCCCCACAGAACCGTTCTAATCTCAAACTCTGTAACTCAATTTCAAAGACAATCCTCACTCATTCTGCCACTTGCTGGTTGTTTGGGCAAGTTACTTAACTTTTCTTAGCCTTAGTTTCCTCATCTGTAAAATAGGGTAAATACTGACTTCAAATGACAGTTATCGCTACATTGCCTTTCCCGCCATAAATCCCCTCACCAAATCCGGGCCAGTACTGAGTTCTCACCGCTCCCCCTGCCTCTCCTCCCTATTCCCGACCACTCAGCTTCTCTTCCCCTCAAGTTGAAGACGATTTTGGGACAAGCAGTGGTGGTTCAGAGGGTCTACGAACAAACGTTAGGCCTGCACAAGACTCACGAGAGACGAGAGACTAATCGCCCAACCTCCCGGAGGGGCCCACGGACACTCACCATCCATACCTAGAGGCGGTGGTTCCGGTTGCTCGAACCGGAAGTTGCCCCTGTACTGTTTGCAGTTCCCCTGGTTACTGCAGGGCTCCGGACCAATGGTGGTGGACCGCCATTCATTGAGCCCGCCCCCGGGGCGTGACATCACGTTGCTTGGAAGCTCCCCTGTTCCCTAGGTCCGACCCGCCTCCCTGGGCCGCCGCTCTCTGTGCGCAGGCGCGCAGGATAGGGCCCCTTTGCGGTTTAGTGCGCAGGCGCCCCGGGCGCTGCTAACTGTAGAAGCAATGGACGCGCTGGAGTCGTTGTTGGACGAAGTGGCTCTGGAAGGGCTTGATGGCTTGTGTTTGCCTGCTCTGTGGAGCCGTTTGGAGTCCCGAGTGCCTCCTTTTCCGCTGCCGTTGGAGCCCTACACGCAGGAGTTTTTGTGGCGGGCTCTTGCTACGCATCCGGGCATCAGCTTCTATGAGGAGCCTCGGGAGCGCCCCGACCTCCAGCTGCAGGACCGGTCAGCGGCCAGGCCCGCGGCCCGGGATCTCATGGAGCTGGGAGGGGGCGAGAAAGGGGGGAAGCGGAAGAAGGACCGGGGATCTGGTGGGGGAGGGGGCGCGAGCTCGATGGAAAGGTTAATTTGGGGTCCTTTCGGGTCTTGCAAGGCCCAGGGGTCTGTGAAGTTGCGGCGGCGGGGGGGGGGTCCTTTTATGTCTGTGTGTGTTTGGCGGGGGTGGTGAGCAGAACTGGGACGGAGGTGATATTTTTCGGATTTCAAAGAGTATTCCCTTTAAAGCGAACGATAGGATTGAAGTAGGGAGGTAGTTCAGATCATAGAGGCGGGGGACAGTTGAATTCCACAAACCTTTGTGAAGCGTTCATTCGGCGTCAAACTGGAGAGCTAAAGCAACTCCATATCAGCATAACAGCGAGATTAGCAGAAATGCTAATAGCTGATGTGGGTTGGGAGCTTACCGTGGACTGGGTGCCATTCTGAGACTTTGAGACCTTCAAAATTGAATTCAAGTGAACCTGTGAAGTAGGAACTGTAGTCTTACAAATGTATAAAGGAGGAAACTGAGTAACAGAGAGAGGTTAAAAAACCTGCCCAGGACGGGGATTTAGCTCAGTGGCCTAAGCTCTACCTGGCAAGCACAAAGTTGTGAGTTTGATCTCCAGTACCAAAAAAAAAAAACAAAAAACAAACAAACAAAAAAAAAAAACCTGTCCAAGGTGCTGTGGTGCTGAGTGACTAAGTATTGATTTTAACCCCGGCGGTCTGACTGTGGAATCTGCTCTTAATCCACAATGTGAGGATCTGGGGAGCTTCTCAGAGATAATAATGGCTAAGACAAGATTTAAGGTTGCATTTAGGCCTTCATTTGGCAAGATTCTCTGGACAGAGAATGGCAAATGTGAAATCTGGATGGGAGAGAAATAAATTCAAGTTTGGTCAAAGTGTAGAATTGTAAGTAGAGAATGAGGACTATTAGTTGACACTTACATACATTCCTTAAGATCTGGGACATTTAGATTAGCAAGTTGTTTATTTTTACAACAACCTGGGAGGTAGGTTTTGTTATCCCCCTTTTTCTGAAGAGAAAATTCAGGCACAGTGTGAATTGTTCAAGGCCAGACTAGCAGGAATAGATTTCAGAATTTGAATCTAGGGTATTCTTTCTATTCCCACTCTGCCCTGAGCCAAATTAATTAACAGTCATTTGATCCACTTAAAGAGTTCTATCCAAAAGATAGTAGAAAGCCACTGAAAGGAGAATCAGACTAAGGACAGAGGGAAGCTGAGAGATTTATAGTACTATCCAAAAGATAGTAGAAAGCCACTGAAAGGAGAATCAGACTAAGGACAGAGGGAAGCTGAGAGATTTATAGTAATCTAGTCACAAACACAAACAGTGGTAGATTGGCTTGTCACTGGGGTTGTGGGAATGAAGGTTGGGGTTGTGGAAACAAGGCACATGAGGCAGAAAAGTGAATTTGGAGACGCAAGTAGATCTGAAAGGTAAGGAAAGGTAGGAATCGCCTTCTAACCCAGCCTCCCTGTTGGGGCATCTGAGTGACTATCCACCTTTCACTGAGATAGGGAATGCAGTATGTGGTTGAATCTGGCAGAAGGGGGATTAATGCTGCTGTGCTTTACGACATACTGAGTGTGAGGCTCCCTTGGGTGTCCATGCAAATGTTAGTAAACATTTGGCTTCTGAGAGTGAAAGCAGGCCAGAGGGAGGGGCTGGGTTAGATCTCTGAGTCATCCCATATAGACGATAATAAAAGCTGTTGGCAAATAAGATCCCTAGAAGAGAATGCATCATGATTAGAGGCTTTCAGACACAGCTCGTAGCTGCACCTACCTTTCAAGTTTGGGTGGAGGCTACATCAACTTCAAAAGAAGAATAGGAAAATATGATAGAAGACAGGCCAGAGTGGTGCCCTGGAAACGGGAGAAGACAGACATGATTTGGAAAGAGGGTTAGGGTCAGGGATACAGCTCAGTGGCACAGCATCTGCTTGGCAAGCACAAGGTTCTAAGTTCAATTTCCGGCACCCAAAAAAGAAAATAGAGGGTTAAGAAGTTGGAGGTGGAGGTTCCAGAAAAGGCAAGGAAGAAAAAGGTGAAATGTGAACATGGAATTTAACCTCAGCTAGTCTACTGCAGGATGTGGACCAGAATCCAAAAGAAAACATGATGATGTGGCTGACTGGACAAAGGAAGAAATTTAAAGCAAAGATGTCTTTAATTATTGATGAGAAGCAACTAGAAGTGTCTCTTACCTAGGTGGGACTTGCATAGAATTGGGGAGAGGTAGTCACACTGTTTGGTCTTATGAAATTTAAGACGTTTGATAGACAGTTGAAGACACTGAATTGATGCTTGGTGGAAAAAGGAAATACCAAAGGTGAGAATTGTTAGCATGCAAGTGATAAATCTGTAAAAATGGATGAGAGATAACTAGAGAGATAGCTGGAGAAAGATGTAAAAATGACAAATGAAATGAGGAAAGCTTGGAATCATTCACTCCAAACTTAGTGGTCTAAAGATTGGATGCTAGATATGGAGGGAAACCAAGAGCAGGTAAGGTGATTTTGATTGACACTTAAAGCTTCTACAGCTTCCGGGGTAGTGTGGGGGAAATCCTAGAAAGGTCTGTGTTCTGTGGGATAGGAAGGCAGGAACCTGTTTGTCAGGACTATCTGCATTTGTAGCACAGGAAAGCTGAGCAATCTCATCTCTCTGATCTCTGCTGGAGGTTGGGAAATAAAAATATTATGGGTGTTCATTACTTCCAGTGCCGACTGGAGTTTAGTATTTGTGTTTTTCCTTTTAGGTATGAAGAAATTGATTTGGAAACTGGAATTTTGGAGTCCCGGAGGGACCCGGTCCCTTTGGAGGATGTCTATCCCATTCATATGATCTTAGAGAATAAGGATGGTATTCAGGGCTCATGCCGGTACTTTAAGGAGAGGAAAAACATTACCAATAACATCAGGACCAAGTCTTTGCAGCCTCGTTGTACAATGATGGAAGCATTTGACAGGTAACTGATTTACAGACTCAGAAATGTCCAGGAACCAGGGCTCTGAGGTCAGGCATAGCCAGAACTGAGAAAGTGTCGTGCATAGCCTCAGGGAGTGTCTGAGTTCACCAGCCCTGCACTCAGCACTGAGCCAGAGCTTGGCCTTCTTCACTCCGCTGCTGTAGAGCTGGCTAAAATTGAGGTCTTATCTTTCCTTTTTCTTTGTGTCTGCAGTCCTAGGCAGCATTTGCATGGCAGCTTTGTTTCTCTTATCCTAGCAGGACCCTATTCTTCCCAGCTGTGGCCTTGATGAAGTCTCAGGCAGGGTCTCATTTTTCCAAGTAGCTAAAGCCAAATCTTTTTTCTCAACCACTCAACACCTTCTTTTCTGCTGTTCAGGCTGGATGGGAGAAGTTGGCAGTGTGACCCTTCGTAACATCCCCTTTCTTCTACTTGCAGACTTTTTGTTTTGTTTTGTTTTTTGGTACTGGGGATCGAAATCATAACCTTTAGCTTGCCAGGCAGAAGCTTGTGCCACTGAGCTAAATCCCCAGCCCCTACTTGTAAAGTTTCCCACATATCCTTCCATTCCTCTCTCATTTGGGTGGCCTGGGCTGTGGTCTAGATGCTTCTCTTCTTCTTTCCCTGAGTTCAGCTCTCTGTGCCTCATGCTGCCCCATCTCTGTGTCCCTTAGCTTGTCTGTCTCCTGAGTCTTTGCTTCTGCCTGTCCATTGATGCTTCCTCCTTCACACATGGCCATGGCTTACCATCCCACCAGAGCTATCTTATTTCTCTGTTTCTCTCTTTTCAATACTGGAGATTGACACCAAGAACACTGTACTGTTGAACTGCTGTTTTTAATTTTGAGACACTGTCCTGCTACATTGTCCAGGCTGGATTCAAACTTGCCATTCTCCAGCCTCAGCCTTCAAGTTGCTGGGATTACTAACCTTTCTGTTGGTACCGTGTCTTCTGTTATTAGCTATCCCTCTTTTTTCTTTTGACTCTTTGGGGGTAGAAATAAAGTCATTTGGTTATGGGGCAGGAGGAAAGAAAACTGCTAGCCTGAGCTGATTAGAGGGACCCCTAATGACCAGGTGTCTGTAAACAGCAAGGCACAGAAAGGGGCCGTGGTCCCAGATAAGACCGTGTATTCTTCTGTATAACCCTGTGGTGACTCCTTCATCCCTCAGCTGATGACATGAAACCAAACGTGGTGTGAGGGTTGGGTTCTGTGCCAGCACATCCCATGGCAAGTCTCATGTGGGGCCAGGGTAGGAGCCCCGAGACAGTTTGAAAGCAATGTGCCATTCTGCCTATGCCATTGATTTAATTTTGTCAGCAAGGCAGTGTGGCGTCTTAACCTGTAAACAGTGGGAAATGCACAGTAAGACACAGGCCTCCATGGAAATTAGTGTTCTCATTTGTGGTACCTTGCAGTGCCTTGTTCACACTATGTTGGGCATTTGGGGGCATTTTTCTCACATATTGAGTCATTTGGGGAACTGATGGCTTGTTCAGGATCTGATCCTCAACAGTAAAGTAAAAAAAAAAACCCACAGTTCAGATAGTTTGATCCTGAAGTTTGTTTTATCAGTCTGCTTCACCTGGCGAGGTCATTCACCTAACAGTTAATGTGGAGGTCCACCACAGTGGAAGAGCTTTTAGAGCTTGCAGTGATAACAAATAGCCTGCTGTGGCGAATGAGCCTTGGGTCCACCATCACTGTCCTATTATACACACATGATTCGAGAGCAAGGTGCTCCTGGTGAATAAGTTGACAAGGTACCCGCTGTTATGGCACTGGTGTTTGAACAAGGGAAGCAGACAAAAATTTCAGAAAAAGAAGTCATTTCTGAGAGTGCTAAGCTATGAAGGCTGTAGGAGAGGTTTGGGGTAGGGCTGGAAGTAGTTGACAACTCAGTGTGACTGAGTGATGAGAATGAATCAGTCACCTAGGAGAAGGCCCAGGAGAAAAGCAGCCAGGCAGAGGAAATAGCTTGTTTTAGGAAGAAGAAGGCCCTAGGGGAAGCCACATCATGAAGGGTCTTCCAGGCTGTAGTGAGGAGCCTGGACTTGGCCTATATAGTAAGTCCTCAGAGGGCTTGAGGTAAAAAAGTTACACTGGCTCTGTTCATCCTGTACCCTGTGCCCTGCCAAGACTCTGAAAACTTGCCTAGGTGAATTTGGGGGTATTGTGAACTCAAGAGAAGCAGAAAGTGATGGTTCTGAAAGCTTCTACTTTTTCATTTTCCAGATTTTTTTATAGTCAGTTAAATGTATTTCTGCTCCTGGTTTTTTCTGACTTCCAGGTGGGGTAAGAAGCTGATCATCGTTGCCTCCCAAGACATGCGCTATCGAGCCCTAATAGGTGCAGAGGGGGACCCTGATCTGAAGCTCCCTGACTTCTCCTACTGTATCTTAGAGCGACTTGGCCGCTCCAGGTGGCAAGGGGAGCTGCAGCGAGACCTTCACACCACTGCTTTCAAGTACGGGAGGGTTTATTTCTTGCTTTTCAGTGATGGGGCTCACTGGTCATTGTGCCCTGTATCCCAAATGCATGGCTTTGTTTGAAGGTCATTGTCTCACAGTGACTGTCTGCTTAGGTTGGCTGGATGTGCGTGTACAGGGAGTGTCTCTGGTGTTTATATCCAAGGGAAAAACCTGTACATTATGAGAGTAGAGCTACCAGTAGGCAGAATGATACAGCCTGCCCTCTTGCGCCACAGGGTTGATGCTGGGAAGCTTCATTATCACAGGAAAATTCTGAACAAAAACGGGCTCATTACGATGCAGTCACATGTGATCCGATTACCTACTGGAGCTCAGCAGCACTCAATCCTCCTGCTTCTGAACCGGTTCCACGTGGACAGGTACGATTTGTAGAGAACAAAAATCAGTTACTTTTATATAGCAACCATGCATAGTTGCAAAGTTATAAAGTTGCATGTTACGTAGTTGCATTAGTTACAAAGCTGTGGTTGAATTTTGTGAGTTTAATATTGGGCATTTTTGAAACATGCAACCATAATCAATTTACATGGATTCAGTGATGAGGTTCTACTAAATGTTGCAGTACATCATGTTGCTATTCTAACTGAATATCATAGTCCAAACAATACAGCAAGCTGACCAAAAATGTACATTCCCTTCTGAGGACCAAGGAGTCTCTGAGAGTGAGTTGATTATCTTTGACTGTAATCTTTGCAGTTGGGGTGCTGAGTACCTGGCATGGGATTGGGGGTTGGGGCTCTGCTCCCAACGCCATTCTCTCTGTGGGATGAGCAGAATGAGGAAAGCTGAAGTGGGACCTAGGAGAAGTGCTCTTGGGTGAGCAACCTCCAGACTCCTGGCCTCTAGCACTCCAAGGTGGAGCTGAGCGGTGCCAAGGGATAGCTGGGAGGTGGGTCAGCATGGTTCTCTGGACCATGGAGAAAGACCGGCTTTCCTCTGGGCAGTCTAGTTCCTTGGCCTTTACTCCAGGAGCCAGATGCACCCTCCAAAAAGGTGGGGAGTAAACTCAGTATTAAGTGTAAGGGCAACAGTTTATAGTACCCATTTGATATGAATGTATAAACTGTTGACTATGGATTTCCAGGAATGAAAATCATGTCTGTCCTGTTAGATGTTCTGTTGATTCTGATTGGCCTACAAACATGTACACTGTTAAGACATCATAAGTTTCTAATCTATCTTCTAGTTTATTGCAGAATACAGTATTGGCAAATTCACATTTTAATTAATCATGGAATCAGTTAAATAACTTTACTAAACTGGTAACTAACATAGTTTATGATCTATAGAGAACTGAGGGTAACAGATATAGGGCAGGTGAAAGAACATGGATTAAACTGAGATCTGTGTATCCATCTTTGCCCCTTACTTGACAGAGACACTTGTCCTCTTTGAAATACTGTTTCCTCTTGAGTGAACACATGATGCTTCATATACATAATAGTCGGTACACAGTACAACCTGTCATTCATTGATTCTCATTCACTAAGAGCACGCGTATAGTTTTTGGATCCCATGCTTTCCTTTCTCAGACTGTGACCCAAGCCTAGCTATTTTTGTCCAACTGAACTGGCAGCAAGGTACCACCATGCACCCCTCCCAACCTTCTCTAGCCACCTGCCACCGTGAATACTCAGGTCTTTTTACCAGCTTCTTTTGTTGGCTATTAGCTTGAAGGTGTTTGCCATGACATTGATTTCATAATAGAATTGAGATGGAAGGTGAGATTCTTTATGAAATAATCCCCACTCTTTTTTCCCAGGTGATTTCTAAGGAAATATAGCAGATGTTTCCTAAATGTTAAAGTACTATAAAAATGTAAGATACTTAGAGAATCACTTCATTAATATTTTAGAATCCAGTTTGTACATTGGCACTTACTAGGTGACCTTGAACATGTGACTAAACAGCTCTCACAGTCTTTCCATCTATAAAATGTGAGAGTTGGGCTGAATGATCACTGAAACCTAGGATGAAGGTTCTTCAGTTAGTTATGTTGTTATTTAAATCTTGCTTTGTCATCTTTGAAGAGCAAGTGGTGCTTTGCAATAGGTGATACTTGACAAAAGGACCGGGCTTGTGTTTCTTGCAGGAGGAGCAAATACGACATCCTCATGGAGAAGCTTTCAGGGGTGCTGAGTACTCGGAGTAACCGGATCGAGACACTGGGCAAGCTGCGGGAGGAGCTGGTGAGTGTGTGAGGCCTTCCTGGGTGCTGGACTGGCTTTGGTCCTCACATAGTTTGGAGGCCTGTGTCACATGTACATTAAACAATTGCCACCCAAAGCCCGTTGTGCGCTTGAAACAAGTGGAATTTTCCTTTATTGCAGTCAATGAGGAAGTGCTTAGTCTTTCATTTACTTCGTGCTCTGTACTGACGTATGTTACCTCCAGGGTTTGCTCTGCAACTTGCTATCATAGTGCATGTGGGAGGCCGAATCTTGGCATTTTGGGGTTTCCTTCCATAATGAAACTTGTAATTTTGTTCCTAGTGGTTTTACTCTGTAATAACAGTGTGACTGTGCTGAAGAGGAGGAGCAATAACATAGAGTGAAAAACAGTTCTTTTTTTGTTTTGTATTTATTCATTTACTTATTTTTTGAGACAGGATCTGACTAGATAGTTCAGGCTGGCCTTGAACTCACTATGTAGTCCAGGCTGGTCTTGAACTTGCTGGATCCTCTTGCCTCAGCCTCCTGAGCGCTGGGATTATAGGTGTATACAGCCATATCTGAATGAAAAGCAGTTCTTGTCTGCTTCCACCTGGGCACAGAAGAGGAGGTAGGGATAAGAGAGAGTAAGAGAGAAAATGTGGAGGGGCACTTCTCCCAGACTGACTCGGATACTTCTCTGTAAAAGCCAGGGAAAAGCCAGTGTTAGAAATAGGAGGGAAATAAGATCAGCCCATAGGTTAATCTGTAACTTAAAATTTGAAGTCAAGTTTCTTGAGTACTAGTAAACAATCCCCAAAGGAACGTGGTCTATAGCAGTGATGGTGAACCGTTTAGAGCTTTCAGTGGTAACACACATGCGCCGTAGGTTTGCCACCCACTGGTCTGTAGCCTGATTCTGGACCCTTGGCCGTCCTTATGTGTCACTGGGTGCTGCATCACTGGAGTTGTAGTTTCTGATTTTATTGTTCACAGGGGTAGACTGGTACATATGTGCATGCCCAGTCTCTTCAAAACAAAGGTTACAAACTGGAGGCTTGTGGGTAAGACTTCCCCTATTAAAAAGAAATTTGATCTGGCTTCTTTTAAAAATTGAGATCTCATAATGAAAGGCCTCCAGCTTCACTTGAAAAGTCAGAGACTGCGGCAAGCCTGGGCCTGCAGTCACTTGACAGTAGTGAGCTGGAGCTAGTTGTGCATTGGCCAGCCCCCCACACTCCCCTAGTTACTGCTCCCGCTCAATCACTGCATTTGTTACCTGTGTATCCTGCTGTTTGGGGCAGCAGAGTGTTTCTTGGGATCTGAGTCTCTGTCAGAAGTGGAAAATAAAAGGTGAACTGAAAAGAACTCTCAGAAGATCCTTCTAAATATGTGAGAAATTCCTGCACACTTTGTTCATTTGAGATAGGGTCTTGCTATGCAGTGCAGGCTGGCCTTGAACTTGCTTATGTAGCTCTGACTGGCCTCGAACTCACAGTGATCCTCCGGCCTCCACCTCCCAAGTACTGGGATTACAGGGGTGCTCCACCACACCTGGCCCTTGGCAGGTGCTGGAAATATGATTGAGAAGGAAGATGGAGCCAGATCAGGAAGTTCTCGAATGCCAGGTTAAGTAGGTGGGACTTGACCCCTGAATCTTTACCTTGAGAACTGCCAAGAGAGTACAGTATGTGTATGGAGCAGCATCCCAAAGAGAGGTGTTCTTTGGAGGATAAGCTGCTGGGAGTGGGGGGGGGGGACTGGAGCGGGTGGCAAAATGCTGCTCTTGGCTTGGCTGGTGATTGACCACAAGGGCTTGAGTTGTTTGAGGAGCATTTTGAAGTGAAGCCTCAGGACTTGGGAAGTAGCTGAGGTAGGATGTAGAGGGGAATGAGGAATTGTCGTAAGGTGAGGCTCATGATTTTGGGTTGAGTGGCTGCCACTTGTTGAGGTACCTGTGAGGGCAGGGACCTCATCTGTCTTCCCATACAGAACCCCACTGGGCAGACTGTCTTGCTCCCAGTAGTTCTGCAGTTGTGAACATTTGGACAAAATACAGAGTGGGAGGGCTTGATGGTGCACACCTGTAATCCCAGCACTCGGGAGGCTGAGGCAGGAGGATGTCTGAGTTTGAGGCAGCCTGCACTACTTAGCAAGACCCTGTCTAAAAAAAAAAATTACAGAGTGAAGTGCAGAAAGAGCAAGTTTGGGTGTGGGGAGGCATATTGACAAATCTGATTTTAAGATTTATTAAGTGTGAAGAGGGATGTTTCCCTGGTGATGTCTAATCAGCAGCTGGCAGTAGGGGGTCAGAGAGAGCAGACTTAATTAGCTTATAGGTGAGATGGATGCCATGAATATGGAAGACATCTTTTTAGGTGTGGGGAGACTACTACTACTGCTTCCTTTATCTTAGGCTTCATTTTCTTTGTGTGTGTGTGTGTGTGTGTGTGTGTGTGTGTGTGTGTGTTATTAAGACAGTGTTTCGCTGTGCAGTTCAGGCCAGCTTTGAATTCGCTTTGTCGCCCACGATGATCCTCCTGCCTCAGCCTCCTGAGTGATGCATTACAGGTGTGCACCACCCTGCCCAGGTGTGCTGCTTCCTTTTTGCTTGGTGAACTGTGCAAATCTTGCTGGCAGCCCCGCACTCCAGAGGAAGGTCTGCACCACCTACCTGTACCCCCCAAAGGCAGGTCTGCACCGTGTTCCCTTGCTTAGGATGGTCTAGGGCTTGGTGCTGCACGCTGAGGGCTGGGATTTGATGGATAGGTTTCCATGGGGTCCTTCTGTGATGTACTAGATTAAAGCTGGATGGTATATACAAGCCAGCACATTTGCCTGAGCCATGTGGGGCTTACCTAATGCTTTGGATAGCTGTATGTTGTGGCGCCCAACAGCGAAGAGTGCTGGCTGGTCTGAGAGTGTGGTGGTGGTGGTAACTCATGCACGTTTGTTTTCGTGTCAAGCAGCACATGGTTGTAAGTACCTCCTGCTGTCCCTCCCAAAACTGAGAGCAGGGTAACTGGCCTTGTTCCTCTGGCAATTGCAAAATCACATGGCAGCAGCAGCTGGGAAGGCTATGAATGAACCAGATGGGCCACGTGTAGAAAAGGATTTTAGTAGCATAGATTTAAGATGTTTATTTTCCTCATAAGGATGACTGGAGAAAAACAATAAAAGAATTGTGGTAAATTGTCACCAACCTTTTGTTTTATCATTCAAGGGTCTGATAAATAGCATCCTGGTGACCACATTCCCTGCCTCTAGGAGTACTGGTCTTTGACTCCACTGGCCATTTTTTCCTTCCTTGTTGTTTTGTTTTGTTTTGTTTTGAGACAGGGTCTCTCTATAGTTCAGGCTGGCCGTGAACTCATTATATAGCACAAGCTGGCCTCCAACATTCAGCAATCTTGCTTCAGCCTCCCAAGTGCTGGGATTACAGGCATGTACCACCATGCCTGTCCAAGGAGCTGCATTCTTAGCATTGGCTGCCAGCTCGTAGCTTTTCAAGAGAAGCCAGACTGGCTTTGTTTTAAATATGAAAGCTCTCATTTTTCCATGTTAGCAAATAAATTGCTTTTTTAAAAAAATATGTAGATTAAAAGGCATGACCTGCCCAGGAAGCGGCCTGATAGCTTCCTACAGTAAGGAAATGTGTAGGACCTTAGCGTTGTAGCAGCCTTGCCGAAGCCTAAGTGACAAGTTGGTTGTACTCTTCACTTTGAACCACCTTATAAACAGTTTTATTAAGTTTACCCAAGACCTTTGCACTGAGCTACATCTGCCACCATCTCCCCCCCCACCCCCGTTGCCCCTGACAGGATCTCACTAAGGTGCTAAGTTGCCCAAGCTAGGCTCAAACTTGTAATGCTTCTGCTTCAGCTTTCTAGAATGCTAGGATTACAGGTGTGTATCACTATGCCTGGCAGAATTTTTTTCATCTAACCTTTTGTTTATTCCACTAAGAAGTGTGTGTGTGTGTGTGTGTGTGTGTGTGTTTTATTAATAACACTCTCACTTGGTTAAAAAATTCAAGCAATTTGAAAAGGTTTCAGGTATCTCCTCCTTCTCTTCTCTTACCTTCCTTATTCCTACTCTTCAGGATCCCTTCAGGCAAATCTCTTTTACCCTCCTATAATCAAAATGTAGAATCATTTTTTTACTGCTCTCAACCTTGTTTTGTTTCCTTGACAACATAGCTTGTGAATCTCTCCTCATTAGTACCTCCAGTGTTTCCTCATTTAAGATCATCAGTTAACTCAGGTCCTGAGCTCATGTGTGTTTACCTGACTCTCTAATAGTTTCCAATGCCTTGCTCAACAGTGGCTTTAATTTTGTGTTTTGGCAGGGGCTGTGTGAGAGGACATTTAAGCGTCTGTACCAGTACATGCTGAATGCTGGGCTGGCCAAGGTGATATCCCTTCCCTTACAAGAGATTCACCCAGAATGTGGACCTTGTAAGACCAAAAAAGGTAAAAGCAAACTCAGCTTCTGTGCCCAGGGCTCGTGGGCTGACTGACTTTTCCCTTCCCTTCTGAACTCCAGCCCTGTTTCTTGGGTTACATTTTGCCTTCTGGTATGATAATATCATGTCCTGATTCAGGTCTTCACTGCCTGTTGCCTTCTGCGCTAAAGGTGCCCCAACAAATGTTCACTGAATAAAAGCAGCTCTCACGCTCAGCAAATGTCTAACTGTGGGTATCCCCTGACATCTTAAACTGTGGTATTAGGAAGCAAGATCACCCTTTCCTCCCCATACACAGCTGCTCTGCATTCTTCGCTAGCTGTTTGAAAGCAGGCATGTGTCGCTTAACAAGGGGAGCATACTCCAAGAAGTGCGTTATTGGTGACTTCATCCTTGTGTGTGATAGCATTACCTACGCAAACCTAGATGCTGTCATCTAGTCACAGCGTGTTGCCTCTTGATGCACCTGCAAGATGCAGTAAGCAAGTGAGATGTGAGGCTGCTGCTGGTGGAACAGGGCAGTTTATGTTAAACTTTTTTCTATATAAGGGAAAGGATTATGCTCTTAAAAAAAAAACCACAAAATTTTAGTAATACCCAAACCAGCAGTATAGTCATTTATTGTCATTATCTGATATCCAAGTATCTGGTACTGTGGGTCAGATTTTCTGCCATTGTTCCATGGTGGAGGGGTGGTTTCAAAATGATTGAAAGAACCATGCAACCCAGATCCTACACATGCGCAGTTTATAGTAAGGCTCACCTGCCTACAGAACTCTAATGCTGCTGCCGATCTGACAATAGGTGGAACTCAGGCAGTAATGGGGACCAGCTGTAAATACTGCTGAAGCTTTACTTGCTGCCCGCCCCGCCACTCAGTCCTGTTGTACCACCTGATTCCTTACAGGCTGTGGATCCTCTAGTGATTTATGGCCTGGGGTTGGGGGCTTCCTGCTATATGAAACTACACACTATACTTTCATATGACTGGCATTGCAGTAGGTTTGTTCGTACCAGCATTACCACAAATACGTTATTCTACAGCAAATTGTTCCTAGGCTCTAGCATTTTTCAACTCTCTCTTTATAACCAGATGACAGAACTATCACTGACCAAAACAATCTCATGCAGCCCTGCAGGATAGGGGATATTGTCACTTTTACATGCAAGAAGTTTGAGTGAGGAGGTACTAAGTACCTGACAGAAGGTTAAGCAGTCAATGCACAACAGTTACAGAGCTTGAACCTTCTAGAGGAAACTGAGGAGGATTGACTGTGAAACTTTTAAAACTTCCCTTAGTCTTTTTTTTTCCATATTCCTGATTTCTATCTCATGTTGTTTACCTCTTTTGATTAACCAAAATAATTTTAAAAACCAAGGGTCAGAGCTTTAGTAAAATACAATAGTCAGCATGGATGTATTCATCTGCACGCTGCCCAGATGCCACCATAGTGATAGTTAGGACTAGAAAGGAATAAACCCACAAAAACAAAGAGAACACAATAGGAAATGGATCGGGGTGCTACCACCATGTTTTGGTGCTCAGTGTAGGTACACAAATGGCTGAGCACAGTGGGAAAGCTAAATGCCTGTGAAGAGCAGCACAACAACTGATTCCTCAGAGCTCAAGGTAAACTAGGAAGTCGGAGCTTGCAAATACCTTTGCACAAATGTAGGTGGGACTACACACAAGAGGCTCTGTGGAGTCTGTGTGAGTAGCACCTAACACGCTGGTCTCTTCGTTCTATGGCACAGCCAGGTAAGAAGGGCTTCTCCAAGAGACAGGGATCTGACTTCTGGCAGGACGGCTTGCACCAGGTATCTGAGCTCACAGATGGAAGAGCAGGCTGGGGCAGGTTTGGGCATAGACAGTGGGCAACATCTCCATAATTGCTAGTCCACACAGTTGCCCTCCTTAGCTGGGCTATCTCTTTATTTTATCATGTGATGGTCTTTATCCTCTACTGGCTTCCTAGACTTTTGGTACTTATGCAAACTATATTCCCCAGGCAGGAACCAAGGAGACTGACTTGGAGAAAGAATGCTTACCTGTTCTGGCTTAGTCTCAGGGTACCTAACTAGAACCCAGAGCCTCATGCATGCTAGACAAGGTATCTGCTACTCAGCTCTACCTCCAGCCCCTCTAGGAACTGTTGAAAAGGAAATATGTGGTTTCTAGGACACTGACAGCCAGATTTATAGTTTTTAGGCTGGGGACGGGGGGTGGGAAACTTTTTTTCTGGAAAAACTGACAAATCCAAGAGAAAGATCTTCCAGATGATGAAATTTGGAGATTTCCAAGGAAACCAGTGACCCCTGCCTGCTTCCTTTAACTGGAGACTAAAGGATGGCAACTTCCTACCTTCTTTTTTGCCACCCTCTAAAACAGGGCTTTGGGTGGCATCTGAATGTATTCTCCAGTTATCTGTGGAAAAACCGATATTAACAGAAGCAAACAAACAGGAAATAGAAACACGACAGAATATAAAAGAAAACTTACAAAATAATCCTCAGAAAAGAGAAGATTTTATGTTCATGAAACTAGTGCTGCAAGAAACTATGAAGAAGAAACATGCAAAAAATAAAAGAACAACCTTTGGAAATAAAAGCAATAAGTCTGTTACAATTGACAGTCTAACAAGGAGATAGTAAAAGAGAGTTGAAAAAATCCCCCCAGAACAAAACCTCAAGAGATGGAAAATGAGAAAGCCAAGTTAAAAATAAATGAGTTTAAAAGGTCCGACATCCACATAATAGGGTTCCAAAGTCTGTTGGTTGGCTTTCCATTGCTGTAACAAAATACCTGAGTTTTTAAAAAGGAGCTGGGCACGGTGCAGCAGGAGAATTGTCCCAAGTTCGAGGCCAGCTTGGGCCACATAATGAGACCCTGTCTCAAAAAAAAAAAAAATGAAATTGGGGGAACAAAGAAGAAACAAGATGTGTTATGCATAGGTACAAATTCCCAGTGGTGAATGTGGTCGTGCTGTATATATAAAGTGTACCAATAAAATTAATTAAAAAAATAAAAAGGAAATGTTATGTTGGCTCACAGTTTTAGAAGTTTCAACCCATGGAGTGTCTCTAAGTCTCATTGCCTGTGCTGAGCAGAAAGACATGGGCGCTTGTGGTTGAAAGCAACTGCTCACTTCATCATAAACAGGAAGCAACCCAGGTGTGGCTAGGGATCCAGTATCCGCTTCAAGGACATGCCCCCAGTGACATAACTTCCCCCCAGCAGGCCCTGCCACCTAAAGCTTCCAGCACCTCACAAGAGTACCACAGGCTGGTGACCAAACCTTTCTTCCTTCCTTTCTTTATCTTTGGTACTGGGAATTAGACTCATGGTCTTCTGCATACTAGGAAAGTGTTCTGCCACTGAGCTACATCCTCAGCCCTGACCAACCCTTTAAACATAGGCCTTTGGAGGAAACTTTTTCAAACCATGGGTTGGAGAACTCAGAAACCTGAGAGAAAGAGCAGAATATTGGCGAGGAGATTATCAGAAATGACATGAGGAATTTTCCCAGATCTGAAGAACACTGTTTCCAGATCAAAGGGGCTGTCAGGTCTCTAGCATTGTGAACATAAATCCACATTAAAATCCAACATCCAGAGAGTTGAGAAATCTGGGAACAAAGAGACTCTAGAGAGGATACATCAGACTTCCTTTACGGTGACTAAGGCTGACATCAGAAGAAAGCCATCCAAATTCTGAAGGAAATGGACCTTCGTTGTGGAGTCCTTCATTCAGTTTTGCTATCAGAGAGGAATAAGAATTAAGGACAGTTGTATATTTTCACACTCCAGCCATCTACTTCCTTTTAGAAAGCTACCCTTAAATGACAGAATAAACCAAGAGACGGGAAAACACGTGGTCAAAGAGGCAAGGACAGGTGAAGGAAGGCTCTGGGGAAATGGTGACTAACGTGGCAGAATCCCAGATAAGCAGTCTGGAAAGACAGGAGAGGAGGTTACAGGAGGTGGAAGTCAGGGCTTGCAAGGCAACAGATTTAATACAGGACACATAATTAATAGGAATATTTTATAACATTCACCCCAAAAGTCAAGTGCGGAAGAGTGTAAGATCTGTCCATGTGCTAAAGACAAAGACTTCATCCGAGGGCCTGGATCCCACAGCAGTGTCCTGCAGGAGTCCAGCTGCAGACCTAGAGCGCACAACAATGTCTTATGCAACTCTGTATTAAGGATCTGCTGGAAAGGCCCAGGGATCAGTGTCAGAAGCCAGAAACTATGCCACCAAGATGAAAGACCTGAGCCAGTGGGCTGAGGGATCTGTACTAACGCCAGGAAGCAACACTCAAGGACCAGAGCTCCCCAGAAGAGAATCACAGCCATCCTCAGCAACAGGGAGGACCCAAACTTCCCTCCATGAGAACAACAAACTTCTCCACAGGAATCGGCAGCACACTGTCTACCTCTCTGGTTCTCCTTTTATGGAGAGGCAGAGGCTGTTGGCAGCCGTCCTCAGGTGGACCTTCCACACTCAGCACCACACTGACCCAGTTCAGCTGCGTGTTACAAGTTGACCATTATAGTTAATCCACTGCAGGACCTATGGACAGTTGCATGTCTGCCCAAGAATCTAAGTATGAATTTTTTTTCTATTTTTTAATTTAAGGAGAAAAAGAAAAAAACAGAAAAAGTGTACAAGTAATACAAAATTTAAAAAATAAACAGTAAGAAATCACTAGTTAATAGATTACGTATTCTCATCTTAGAAGAATCGAAGTATGAATTTATGATGCATAGAAAATCAAACATATGGGAAAAATGAAGTTACTAACTGTAAGAAAAATGAAAAGGTATACAAGAAAAAAATGCTTAGGTTCTGGGTGTGTGACTTTATGGGCATAGCGATCAACCCAGGGAAATGAATTTGTAAATAACACACGTTACAGAACTTGTGCTGAGAGAGAGCACACCTGCGGCATCCCCAGAACTCAACTCTGTTCTGACAGAAGGCAGGCAACCAAGATTGTTGAGAAA